TCACCTATTGCTTTAGCCTCAGTGTTAAAGTACCGGCAGCAGTGAACGTTAACATTTATGACGTGGAAATGACCATATTTGGATATAAACTGGGGTGGAACATTATCAGCTGTAGAGCACAGACACTAACAAAACACAATAGCTTCACTCAGTAAAACTCTTCCCTGATAGTCTGTACCACACAGCAGGTTGTTTGTAACGGTAGACACTCAGCAGCACAGTCCTGTTGGAAAAGTCGGGACAGTAACCGGAATTAGTGGAAGTTATGACTCGTGGTTACTTTTAAGTCATCATTTGGAAAAAGAAAACAAAATCCCGACCTTTGTGCATCTGTGTGTGCAAACATGCTTTTTAATGCTGTTCAGGCACTTGGACAGTGCTGTCTATAGGGGAGGACTCACTTTTGGGGGGAGTTGTGTTACAAGTAACCTGTGGCTGAACCCTGAATACACTTCCTCTGGTTACAGGGACGACTCTCAGGAAAGGCTTAAAAACAAGAAAGAAAGAAGTAAAGCTCAGTAATGACATGCGTGGCCCAAAAACTGCAAACGGAAAAAAACGTTTTAAAAGAATAATTAAAAAAAACAGAGCGAGAAACAAAAAGCAAAAAGGCAACAGAGACAGTGACCTTTCTCTGAACCCAGTGATGAACTTCTGCCTCAGTGTACACACACACACACACACACACACACACAGCACCAGAGGGCACATTTTCAGCTTATGTAATGGAGAGCAGGATCGCATGTGTGTGTTTCCACTTCAGTATGAATAGGAGGTGATCCCAGCATCAGTCAAGTCAGCACTGTTCCTCTCTCTCACGCATGCACACACACGCACACACACGTACACACACGTACACGCAGACACGCACGCACACATGTGCACGCAGACACGCACGCACGCATGCACACGTACACGCACACACACTACTCGTTTCAGCACAAATGCGACCTTCAGTTTTCAAACTGGTGGCAGAATAGAAATCATGGCTCGGGCTGAGGACGAGCAGCCACATGTTAATCAGAGCTGCAGAGGGTTAACCCAGGACAAAGCTCTTACTCGCAGTAATGTATTTTAACACCTTCCTAATCAGGAATATGCATGAGTATAAGTATCTCTGAAAGACACTGCTCCCGCTGTGAACCTGAGTGTGAGATTCCTCGGTGTCTGCGCTCTCAGGGCAGTTAGCTGCTATGATAATCACTGTGGTAATTACTTACTTACTGACATTCAGCCTCATGTAGTGAAGATTCATGAATATATTTCATCCCTCTATTCTGATTTGTGGAAATCAAATGTTCTTCTGTAGTTGCTACAATTACTGAACACACAGAGTGGAGCCGTGTGCCACTGAGCATGTGCAGTGTCACCACACAACAAAAGGTTTGTGGTTCCCACATTTTAGTCCGTGTCAGCTGTATCGAGTTGTCCCCGTGTCTTTGTGGGTTTCACTCCACAGTAAAGAGTAAAATAAAAAGTACAGTTAC